TCGGGTCAAGGACGCCGCACCTGGGGCTTGAGTTCGAGTCCGAGCCTGAGTTCCCTCTGTTCCGTCTCTTTACTGTGTGTTCCTCTGTTCTCTCTTATCGTCTTGATTTAAGTTAAAATTATCTTCTTTAAAAATGTGTGGATTGGATAGCGGTCAAGCGCGTGGTTCTTTTTTTATTTATTTTTCTGGGCAACCAGCTACAGTCGACACGTGAGTCCAGCCCGTGTCTTGGCTCGAGTAGGAGTTGGCGTGATATACTATTAATTAAGATTAGATTTGATTGATTTATCTTAATAGAGAAATTATTCCGTCGGGTCAAAATATAAACCGAACATTCGGTGATGGCCGAGGAAAAACGGAGAGAACGGGCAGTGCCGTATCAGTCTCAATTGCTGTAACTTTTTCCTGATGCAACTTTTTCCATTAGTTGGACTGATAGTCAAAAGTTGTGGACGATGATGGTAGCCGGTAGCGTCACTGAACATGTCACATTTTCATTTTATTTATTTATTTATTTACGGAAACTGGACATGATTGTGCCCAATTTGATCTCTAAACACTCCATCCCCATTTCTTGCTAATCAAGAATCGTCGCCTATAAATGCCCCGTAAAACTTCACTCACGGCTCCAACAATCCAACCTCACATATTCAACAAATACGATATGTCGGAGTCCAAGGAAACCGTAGTCCTCTTCCCCTACTCCTCCGGCATGGGCCACCTAATCCCGATCCTCGAGCTCGCCAAGCTCTTCGTCGCGGACCATTTCTCCGTCGCGGTCGCCCTCGTCGACTCTCCATTCTCTCCCCCCGTCAACTCGTCCTTCGTCACCGCATTCTCATCGACCCACCCTTCAATCTCCTTCCACTTCCTCCCCGAACTCTCTATCCCCGCTGCCGAGTTCTCCCCTTATCGCCCCCTCGCCAACCTCCAGCTCGTCCGGCGATCAAACCCTCTCCTGTCGTCCTTCCTGGTCTCTCTCGATAAAAGCTCGCCGGTCCGTGCTCTGGTTTTCGACATGTTCTGCACGTCCGCGCTCGACGTGGCGAGGCAGCTGGACATCCCGCGTTCGTGTTCTTTCCCAGCAGCGCGTCGGCCCTGTCACACTCGTGCCATCCGATCATGCAGTCTGATGCGCCCGTCAACTTCAAGGATCTCGGCGATGCCTCCGGTGAAGTTCCCGGCTGCCCGCCGATGCCCGCCGATCCCGGCTTCGCACGTGCCGGTGCACTTTCAGGACCCGGAGAGTGAGATTGGCAAGGCGCGTGCGTATGACATGGAGCGGATCCCGAGAGCTGACGGGGTTCTGGTTAACACGTTTGAATCTCTCGAGGAAGGAGCGGTTAAGGCTTTGAAGGAGGAGGTTAGCTGTCCAATGCCGCCGGTTCACTGTATCGGACCGTTGATCGGTGGAGGCGAGGGGGAGGGTCACGCGTGTCTCACGTGCCGAAGGGGATCGTGGTGTTCTTGGTTTCGGGAGCATGGCAGCTTCTCCGCGGAGCAGGTTAAGGAGATTGCCGTGGGTTGGAGAGTAGCGGGCGGGTTCCTGTGGGTGCTTCGGGACCCAACAGGACCCGACCCGGATTTTGGCCGAACTGCTGCCGACAGGGATTTTTGGAGCGGACTCGCGGATAGAGGAATGGTGTTGGGTCGCCCGCAGGCGGCGGTGCTGAAGCACCTGTCGGTGGGCGGGTTTGTGAGCCACTGCGGGTGGAACTCGACGCTGGAGGCGATATGCAACGGTGTGGCGATGATCGCGTGGCCGTTGTATGCGGAGCAGAGGATGAACATGGCGTTCTTGGTGGAGGGGGCGAAGATAGCGGTGGAGATGAAGGGGTTTGATAAAGAGATTGTGAAGGCGGAGGAGGTGGAGGCGAAAGTGAGGTGGATGATGGAGTCCGAGGGAGGGAGGGAGATGAGGGGGAGAGCGGCGGAGATGAAG